TAAGGGCCGCTTTTACAGGGTCCTTCTGGAAATATTAAAATGTCAGCCATGGACGGTGCATTTTCAACCGACTCATGGAGGTAATTAGCTTAATTAGCAAGTTTGCTTCAGCTGATAAAGTCTGCCAGGAACAGTTGTCATTTCAGCCGGTAAAATCAATCAAAAGTTTAGTCGTTGACTAAAAATAAAAAGCCTGCTTTTGTTTACTTCTGTCTGAAATCAAGAATTGTGTGGTAACTCTGCTTTATCATTGTAAACTGCATATGTGTAGACAAAAGTTAGACAGGCATAAGAACAGTAACTTAAAGACTAACTAAACCCCCAAAGACCTTTTTTTCAGCTGAAACCCAACGTGTATTTAGTGGGACATTGTGGTGCAAAGTATTTGACTTCTACATATTTTGTTATAAATATACAAAGTGACTGCCCTCTACTGGTTAAAACCTGGCTATTGAATAGAATTTTGCTAGCGGCTGATCTGGTGGCAAGGTGATGTATATAGTGGCACCTATTGTCACCAACCCACCCCTCCCTCTCCGTCCCCTCCTACAGTAATGAGTGGAGTTGCTGGTCTAGCACTAGCTTGATTGTGTGATTTTGGTGCTTAAAAGGGTTAAAAACAACAAAGTCACGCAACTACACACACAAACTAACCGACTGAGGCAGCAGAGAGTTAAAAATACTGTGTTTGTCATGAGAGTCTGGCGGCTTTGAACAAAGCAATATAGCGTCTGTTTCTCGTTTAACAAAGAGCATCTTTTCTTTAAAAAAGGCTTTCTCTGTAGGGACCCTTTCCATAATGTTGTCAGACACTTATAATAACAATCTGAGCCTGTCAGTGGCAAAAACAAGCACTTTAGTGGATGTACATTGATGGTGTGCAATCTCCCCAAAGTATTATATTGCAGGCTGATTTCGCTTCCGCTGGATGTAGCACTCAATACTGGACCAATTTCAAACATTGTTGTCCCCATTAGCCAAAACAGGGTCCAGGTTGAAAAATACCAAAGTTAGCCTTTGAAGGGAGCAGGGCATAACATTTTATTGCTTAGGAGAAAAGCGTGTCCAACTTGTTGAAGAGGACATGTTGGCATTTGTCGAAACACATTAGCCCTTGCTTTCCTCGTGAGTCTTTTAACTTTTGGGATGACTGCCAGGGATGAAGTGATGGAGCATCACTGGACAGATGAAGGGATGAGGGGTGGGGGTGGTAGTCGCGGGAATACAATAAATAAATAAAATAAAAAAATAAAAAAAGAGGCACACTGCTGGCTGTTCAGTGCAGCGCCTTCGCTCTGGGAGTGAGGGAGTATAGAAAAGAATGGCGACACTCACCTCCTTGCTTACTCCTGTCAAGATAGATGGAGACCCTTCTGGCCAGACCTGCGAGCAGGGGGAGGGAGCAGATGGAAGGAGGGAGGAGGGGTGAGGGGGAGAGCAAGAACGCAACAAAGCAAGCAACAAATTAGCAAAGGACCCCCCATGCATGCACACCTACACAATCGCACACACACTCAAAAGTGAAGACTTCCTGAATATACTCCACGTGCATTCAAACAGCAGAGGGGTGAACAAGGCGGCTGTTTCCCAGATGACTAACAGTTATATGCCGGGATCAAAGAGTGAAAGGAGAGAGACAGAGAGAGGCTTGAGCTGAGCTGCTGCCTCTGGATTACAAACAGGGGCTGTGGAAGCTGCACAGGGTCCCCAACCTCCATGCCTGCAGGACACAGAATCCCAAATCCTTTCACCACACGGCAGAAAGCTTGACTAGAGAGGACTTGAGTGTGCATGTGCATGGGAATGAGAGTTTGAGCAAGATCGATAGTGAAAATACATATACGGAAATAATTTAACTGGTCTGAAAATAAAATAAAATAAAATAATTGAACACAAAACTAAACATAATTAATTTAATCACACAAAATTAAGTGTGAAATCAAGATTTGTTGTTGTGGAGGTGTATGTTATTGGGAAAACTGCTTGCTGCCTTGTTCAGCCTCTCGAGGTGGGGGAAAAAACACAAAAGAATATCAAAGAACCAGCAAAGTAACCACAAGCCAGACAGACAGATTCTACAGAGATGGCTCACTGCTGAAAAACAGCACAAAAGCATGTTATTGGACAACAGGGACGGGATGAGTGAGGACAGGTTGTGCAGGGACCGGTGTGTATGAAAAGGTGTGTGTGTCTGCCAGTTTCTCCTTGAGAAACGTTCACAGTCTTGAAGCAAATGCCTACAAAGGTAGAGAAGGTTTTTTGGCAGCACAAAGACAGACTTGTGTAATATTTCATGGGGTTTTACATTATTAATGCCACTGAGGCAACGCTAAAAATCTAAAAGTTTCAAAACACAAGCATGAAATTATTGTACTGTATGAAAGATGTTCCAAGCAATGGTAATAACTCTAAACTGGTTACTGGGCTAGGAAGAGGAGGTGTGTGTGTAAATGTAATAGGGAAAACTGTGTGTGTGTCTATGTGTGTGAGAGAGACTGCACATGTTTTTTAAAGTTGTCTGCCAAGTTTAAAAATATATATATATTTGAATACCACAAGCTGAAGCTGGACTCTTCAGTAAAACTTTTCCAGGAAAGATCTCAGTCGAGTGGCTATTTATATTAAAATTGATGCCTCCACTGTAGTCTGAATGCAGAGGCGACACAGCGACTGTCACTAACGATACATCCACGATAACAAGCACACCATTAAAAGTTAAAGTCTTCGTCAAAACAAGGCTGTGGCTCACTGTTGGACAGTCCTCTGTGGGGGATGAGTCTTTCAGGGCGATTTGTGTCATAAGAGTCAGACAGACAGTGATGCTAGTTAAGTGTGTCGCCTCTCTGCAGATTCCCACAGAGCGCCGGTGACTCTGTGGCTTTGTAATGATGGAGACACATATGTGCACGCATTCTGTGAATTACACCACTGCACGGATGTCAAGTCAGCCAGACACTCAACCTGACAGCTCTGCTCTCATTGCTACCAATTAGCCAAATATGTATCTTATTCTATACGAGATGTGTTCTAAAAACGCTTTCTGAAAGTTGTCCACTCAGACATTACTGTTGACACATGTGCTCATGCTAATACACTGGGTCAGAGATCATTTAAAAACATGTTCAAAACAGACAAAAGTGTGGTAGTAATATGTATCAAAGAGGTTGTATTAAGTATTGGTAGAAACATATAATAATTCCTACAGCTGTCACGGTTTCCCTAAAAAACCTCCCTACCCAGAATTGACGGCTGAGAAACGCTCGAGGCAGAAAAGTGCGGAGCAGTGGAGAGAGTTGAGAGAGAGAGTGGGTAACCCAGCACATCACAGAAGTGGGTGGATGTCTCTGACAAGTGTGTGCTGTGGGTGTCGGGCCTGGTTCAAATATTTGCGAATAACTCTGCCTCACGAATTATGGAAGTGTGTCAACACAGAAGGTAAACATGGCAGCGAATCCACTGACGCCCACAGTCCAAGTTTAAAATTATTAATTCTATTCAGGCAACGCAGAAAGCCCTCTGTGCAGAGAATGACTAATAATCTACCTGTTGCATTTTATCATTAAGTTTATGCTCTTAAATGAACTAACTTTGAATGTAGGTCTCCAAACAGGATAAACCAGCCTCCAACTTTCTGAGACATGACATATATGTGATGGATATGGCATATGTGACAGGGTGAGACAGGCGAGGCTGATAAGTTGCATTCGTTTTGACTGATGGAACTAAATGCAGACACCTGACTCAGAATCCAGCACCTGCCTCTTATGTGGCAGAAACAATCGACGACACTGTGGAAGGAGGGCTGAGGTCTCTGCATCAGGTCAAATCACTTATTGAACAGACCATTTTTTTATGATTTAATTTTCACAATCAACACACTATTTAGCTGTATTAAAGAGGAAATACAACTGTTATTAGTAAGCTAATATAAGCTAGTGCTAGGCTTAGGAATAAAAATGCATCCCTGCTCTGTCACCGGCACTTTAACAGTCTCCAGGCAGACCTAGAGCGGTTCAGTTACTGGTTTCCTGCAAGTTTCAACAGGGAAAATTTAAGACTTTTTTAAGATTATTATGAGTGACCTTTAAGACCTATTTCATGTCCATACTGACAAAAAAAGTACAATAGATATAAAGGAAAATCAGTATTGGTTGCAGTATGATCAATACAAATTATTCCCCAAAACACATTTAAAAGCTAGACTGAAAAATTGAACTTTATACAAGTAATGTTAACTTCATTAAATCATATTTAAAAACTTTAAAAATCATATCTAAGATGTTTTAAGGCCTATGTTAGAGAGACGGGATGACACACAGCAAAGAGCCACCAGTCAGACTCGAGCCCATGGCTGCTGCAGCAAGGACTCAGCCTTTGTACAGCTCTACCAGGTGAACTATCAGGGCACCGCTTAAGACCTCATTTTTATTGTCTTATAAATATGCATAGTGACTACTCTCTACTGGCTGAAACCCAGCTATTGAAATTGAATTTTGCTGATCTGGTGGCAGGTGACATATATGGCCTCCTACAGTAATTTTACATCTCCGAACACAGGAGGTGCTGGTCTAGTGTTGCCTCGATGGGTTAGTTAGTTTGTGTTATTTTGTGATTTTAGACTTTTTAAGACCCC